TCAAGCGCTGTCATGAAGTGTGAGCGATGCTGAACTAGATTCTAAACCTTTCCCTCCCTCTCATTTCCAAATCGCTATCATCGCCCTGTCACACGGAGGTGTCCGACGGAGAGCGTGAATCGGAACATCAACAGTACTCTCGTAGACTACCTACTTCTTTCGTTCACTCTTATCCCCATCCTTACTCCTCCTTCTATCGGAGCACCACTGTTTTCTCACTGTCATATAATCCTTTATTTCCTCTATACTCTCATTTCCCGTCTTTTTTCCTTCTACACGATTTAGTCTCTCCCTAATTCTCCATTCTTACTATGGCTTCTCTTTTTTTCCTTTCTCCGCCTATTCCCCCTTTCACCTGTTCTCTCGTCTCTTCCTCTCCATTACATTTCTCCCTATGAGTTGGGATACTATTGCTGTCCTCTCTGTTTACGACCATCTCCCCCTTGACCCCCCCCCCCCTTCGTCTCCATCCCTCCCCCCACTCCCCCCCCCCCCCTAACTTATTCAACATCTCTGGGGGGGGGGGGGGCGGGGGCGGGTGGTTCCTGTGGCCCCAGCCCAGGGGAGAGGCATAGCAGGGAGCGAGGGGCACTGCTGGCCTGGCCTTCCCCTTTGGGGTGGCTGAGAGGACAGGACGCTGGGTGGGAATGAGCGCTCACCTTCAGCTGGAGGGTGGGCTGGCCTTTCTTCTTGTCCATCTCACAGTAAAGACACAGCTTTCCTCCTGAGACGGCCAGGAAAACGGGGTTTCCCTTGTCACCCGCTGAGCTCAGGCGAGAGGCTAAGACGTAGAAGGTCTCTGGGGAAAGAGTCACAGAAAGCAGGGTGGTCCTCAGAGCAGGCATGAGCCTTCTGCCTGTGGGGCTGCCGGCTCCTTCACTCGGGTTCAAGCCTCCTCCTCCCCCACAGACCAGAGAGACTCCCCTCAGATCTTGTGCCCTCAGACCCTCCACTCCACACTGCATTCCCAGCAGCCCCCGGGGCTGCTCCACCCACTGCCTGCCCCCTGCTGGAGCTGGAGGTGTCCTACAGCCTGAGCTGAGCCCCAGTTGGAAGGACTTGGGGGACAGAAAACAGGAGAGAGAGAGAGAGAGAGAGAGAGAGAGAGAGAGAGAGAGAGAGAGTCACCTGGGCTTGTGTTGGGTTTTTTGTGAACTGCTATGAGGGTCCCACCGTTCAGCACCAATACTTTGTGGTCCCGGTCGTGAAAGCTGAATTTCTGTGGTTCTGGGTTCTTCACTTTTGGATCTGGATGAATATAACCAGATGTCAACATTTCACATTGAAAATGGAAAACTCAATCCTTCTTAGGCCACAGGAGGGTCCCAGCCCAGCCCTCCTCCTGCCTGTGGGCTCAGACATCAGCCCACTGAAGACCTCCCCACGCCAGGCTCCCTGCCTTGCTCCAGACCAGCGATTCAGCACATGTGTGAGCACGTGGGTTCCCAATTTTGACACATGGGTTCAGCCCCAAGCTCTGTGACTTACTGCTCTAGCACATAGCAGACGTCACTATTCTCTCCAAACCTCATGTCCTCGTGTGTAGAATGGGGGTAAGAACAGCACCTACCTTGCAGGGGTGTTGGCAGGATTAAAACGCTTACTCAAATGAACGACACTTAGCCAGGTGTCTGAGCTGTTAATCATTACTATGCTCATCGTTATTCTTCTTAACCACTCTGCTGCACTATCTCCTCTCCGGAGACACCATGCTCCCAGCAGTGCCTGGGGGAAACCCATCCTGGCACTGGCCGGGCCAATGGAGGGGCAGTGGCAGGTGCAAGGTGGAGGCAGGAAGCACAGGAGGCCGAATCCTGAGACCAGCTGGCCCTGCAGGCCCGTCAGAAAGCAGCAGGCCTTGAGCCTGGCCTTCGAAGAACCTCCCTGAATGGGCAGGACCAGCCGCAGCAGTGGCCAGGGCACTTCCCCAGGGCAGGGCTCCTGAGAGGGCGTTCAGGCCAGCCCTGCCCACAGACACCCTCCCCACTGGGCCTCTGACTGCGCAGGCGGCCCGCCCTCTGCGGGGCTCAGGCACTTGATGGGTGGAGTGGGAGCCCACAGTGGGCCAATGGGTGGTGGTTGTGAAATGTCAGACATGGTAATACAGTAACCACTGCACCGAGTGATGCTATGTGTAACTATCTGTGACAGTAATTACACCCAGAGATGAACTCGGAGGCTCACTCTCCTCCCATCAGTAAGACTGTCTGTCTCCTCCCGCCCTGGGAACAGGGACTCTTCTGTGACACTGGCTCTCTGCCGCCTCCTCCCTGGAGCACTGCTCAGCCCCTCTGCGTGGAGGCTTCCCTGCTGGGCGGTCACAGTCCTCTGCAGGCACACCTGTGGCACAGGGCTGGTGTCCCTGTCTTGTCTCCCTACAGCACGCGAAGGTCCTGCATGCAGGTACCTGTCTGGCCTGGCACAGTCTTCCTCAGCCCAGCCTAGTGCCCCAAGGGTGATTATGACAGGATAGGTGGCCCGGGCCAGACCCTAAGTAACTGCAATGACATGGGGTCACATGAGTTCCAGGGGTCACGTGAGGTCTGAGGTCAGGGCCCGGCTTACACTAGAATCTCCCAGGAGCTTTCTGGGCCCAGCCCAGACATTCTGAGTTCATGGGACTGATGCAGGTTGATTCAGAATCATGAAACCAGATAAATTCTACACCTTCCAACTTCTCAGACATTAACCTCACCTACAACTCTGCCTTCCCATCAGCCCCGGGGCTGGCACTGCTGCTGGTCTGAGCACCACCTGGCTGCACGTTGGATCACCTGGTGGGTGATGTTTTAAGACCATGGGTGCCTGGGCCTCACACCCTGAGATTCTGATTCAATTGGTCCAGAGTGACACCCAGGCAAGCTATGTAAGTTGCATTTCTAGCGCTAACATCGTGCTTTTTAACTCTGAAATATAGGGTAACCCCAACAACTGCATGCACACACTTTGAATAATAATAAAGGCAGTGATAGATTTCATTTTCAAAATGAACTGTCACCTGCTAAAGTGTGCATACATTTTTGGGACACCCTGTATTTCCTAAATCTGTCCTCTTACTTCTGTTCCCTCCTGTCACAGCCTGACTTGGGCCCCCATCTCCGCTCAGGCCTGTGCATGTCCTCTCTCGCACCTTTCCTGACCCCAGTCCATCCTGCCGATGTCCTTCCAGAGGCCTCGGTCCAGCATCATGTTCCAGGGGCTGGTGTCTTCCCTGCGAGCAGTGGCCCCCACTGCTGTGCACCAGTCACCTGATGGCTGCGCAGCCTCCTGAGCCTCAGACCCCGAGTTTCTAATGCGAGAGTCTACGTGGAGCCAGAGACTCTTCATTCCCCAGATTTCCAGGAGGAGCTGCTGCTGCTGGTCCAGGGACCACACACTGAGCACCTCTGCCCCCGGGTGGGCGGGGCCACCAGACAGGCACAGTGCAGAGCAGGAGCAGACGCCTCCACCCACAGGACCAAACCCAACCAAACCCTGAGGCAGCAGCAGTGTGGCTCCCAGGGACACAGGGCTGTCCTGGCACCGTGTGCACCTCGTCTCCTGTGAGGCTCACTGCCCTTTCCCCAGGGACATGTGGCTCCTGTGGGGCTCACTGCCCTTTCCCCAGGAGGAACCGAGGCTTGGTATGCACCCATGGCCTGCGGTGGAGCTGGGACTTGGGCCACGGGTTCCTGACTCTGCCCTGGGCAGGGGGTGAGGGGGTGGGAGCCTGAAACATGACTGGGCAGACAGATGTTGTAGTTCCTCCGATCCCAGCATCTGTCGCTTACACCCTGTGCACCTGGGCAGGGAGCCCCCCTCCCCCTCAGTGTCTGCACCTGGAACATGGTGATGCTAGCATTTCTCCTGGGTTACTGTGGGACGGGTTCTAGCTCAGTGTGCCTGGGGCACCCATGGTGTGGGCCCCCATGCCCCTCCGGCCCAGTTCCTGGTTTTCACAGGCGCTGTGAGGAAGTCATGGTTGCCAGCAACAGTCAGAGGAAGCTGGACGGTTCCCAGGCTCAAAGGCTTGTTTCTCCTGAGCCACTCGGGGGTATGTGTGACCTTCTCTCTCTGCAGAAACCAAAGCCCATCTTTCCTGTTGGTCTTACTAAGAGGTGCTTCTACAAAGGAGAAGCGTCAGCCCCACCCCGGCACCCGTAGGTGTCCCCGTCTCTGGTTCTCCCCCTCCCCTGAGAGGGCCCTGAGGTACCGTCCCCACCCCACCCTGTCCAGGCCCCAGGCCGTACCTGCCGCTGCCAAGCTGAGGGAGGGGGGACTCAGGCCGGGCTCCAGGGCGCCTTGGGCTGGGTCTGGAATGAGAGACAGTGAGGTTGGGTGTTTCAGGGACCAGGAGCACCAGGGGCCATTTAATGCCTTACCTGTTTGTGTGTGTTTTCAGAAGCACTAAGAAGAGAGGCAGTGGTGACATTAAAAATAACTTTTCTGGTCGAAAATGCTGGGGAACGGAGGTGAACTGGAGCTGAGTGCAGAGCCCGCCATCGCACGTGCACAGCTCAGGGCAGAGCATCCCTCACCCGCGACTGTGGGGGCCCAAATCTGAGCACCCGCCCGGGGGGAACCAGACGCAGGGCTCACGGGCTGCGGGAGAAGAGCCGGTCTGTGCTCTGAGAGTAGGACCTGCCAGCCCGGCTCTGCCACCGCTGGGCCACCGCTGCGGCCTCACACTGCCCGGAGCTGCGTGTCCCCACGTGCCCCCACGTGTCCCCGGCTCGGACAGCCCCGGGCTTCCTAGAAGCAGAGGGCACTGACGACAGAGGCAGCGCCAGGACACGGCTCAGTGTCGCCGGTCCAAGTTCCCGGGCCCGGGCCTGCCCAGGAGCCACCCGCAGCCCTGCTCCAGGAGCGGGCCTGGGTCCCCACCTCCCGGTGGTTACCCTTAGTGGACCCACAGTTGTCAGACCAACGTCCTGATTTTAGCTTCGAACTGTGACGGCCACGTGTGAGTCCACAGCTCGGGACGTGGCCTCTGGCGTGTCCCAGGCCCTTCCCCTCACACTCGCGCACTGGACAGCCACGTGGGTCAGCGTTTTGCTTTCAATGTCTCCCTTGAGCCAGTGCCCAGTGCTTCCTCCCAGGAGGGCTCAGAAGCGCTGGGTCACTGCCCACGCAGGCCCCTCCTGGGCTGGGCTGGGCTGGGCAGGCAGGGGCATGAGGTGCAAGTGGAGGGTTCAAAACCATCCGATGGCGAGTCCGGACCTCAAGCCCCAGCCGCTGGTAAAGTTGACCCATTTATTTACCACCGGCTGCCCCTGTTGCCTGCCACCAAGCTTCATCTCCCCTTGAGGATTTCTGTCCTCGGATTCACCTACCAGGGAGATTCCCAACGCTCCGTCCCCATGCAGGGTCCCGGAGGCAGGCGCCTGTGCAGGCTCCTCTGGGGGTGGGGGGGGACACGGGGGGTGCGGGGAGAATCTTCACAAGCACCTCACCTTCTGCGCTGCCCTGGGCTCCGGCCCCTCCCCCATCTGCAGCGTCCACCTGCACTCCTGCGCTCTCCTCCTGAAAGGACATCGTCAAGGTGATGAAATGACGCCCGGAGCCTGGGATGAAGGGCAGGACCTGAGGGAACAGGAAGGACACTGTCACGGCCCCGTCTGGCCAGGACACCTTGCCGATGCCCTGCGTGTGCCCGGCCGCCGGCTGCCCTTTCTGCCCCGAACTGTTGGCTGTGTCAGGGCGGCCGTGCTGGGTGAGCATGCTCTTCCCTCCAGTGCTCCTTCGCTTTCTGCCCCTACAAAGTGACGCTTTCCAACCTGTGGATCTTTTATGGATCTTGGCAACATTTTATAAAAATGACATAGAAAGTTCAAACTGCACTGCTCTAATCCCAGGGTGGGCAAACTATAGTCCACAGGCCAAGTCATCCCACTCCTGTTTTTGTTTTTGTTTTTAATTCTTTTAAAATTTTTAAAATATATTTTATTGATTTTTTACAGAGAGGAAGGGAGAGGGATAGAGAGTTAGAAACATCCATGAGAGAGAAACATCGATCAGCTGTCTCCTGCACACCCCCTACTGGGAATGTGCCCGCAACCAAGGTACATGCCCTTGACTGGAATCGAACCTGGGACCCTTCGGTCCACAGGCCGATGCTCTATCCACTGAGCCAAACCTGTCAGGATAATTTTTTAAAAATTTATTTATTGATTTGAGAGAGAGAGAGGAAGGGAGAGATAGAAACATCGAGTTGTTGTTCCACTTATACATTCATTGGTTGATTCTTGTAAGTGCCCTGATTGGGGATCTACCCTGCAATCTTGGCGTATTGGATGA